AGAAATTCTTATCAGCAATCTGGATATCTTCCCCAATAGGGTAATCGTCAAAACCATATGAAAATTGAAGAAAAAAGGCACGTTTACTCGAGAAAACCAGGCCTCCACGCCGTCGCACTCTCTATATATATATATATATATACATGTATCCCCTGTAAGGAGTATAGAGTTTAGACCCTAAAAAACCTACAGTAAACCCTGAACCCTATATAGTCCCCTATATAACCCCCTTTAACTAGTTTAGACTATGGCTCATGTGGTGATGGGTTTCAGGCGTTTGCAGTGAAGAGCTCTCAAGGTTTAAAGTTTAGGGTTGAGGGGTTTAGAGTAGCGCCTTTGGAACTCAATCCTAAGCCCTTTAGGTTGAGGGCGGCTTTTTGGGGAGGTTGCGGTGCATCAAGGGGCTCTGCTTGGAGGTTCATGGGTGGCAGGAACTACGTATAAGGAAGAATCACTAAGGGTCCAAGAACTCAAATATTGGGGTTTCAGGGCCCAAAAGGCCTAATATTTAGGTACTTGGACCCTTAGGGAGCGGAACCCTGCTGGGATGCCATCCCACTTTCTGGCCTTATGTAGGTCAGCACGCCCTAGTTGAAAGTAGCTACCGAGCCCACAAATGCACCCCTCCGATCAAGTCACGCCAACCAACTTGCTCAAATCATCTGCAAACGCGTTACACGACAGTTGCGGGAATCCAAGACCAAGACCTTCCCAGTACCCTTATAATCGGGGATATAGGGCCCCTAGCAGTGGGTACTTAGCCCCAATAGAGGGGTAGGTGGAGAATCCAGGAACCTTCACATCCAAGATTTTTTGTGCGGTCTTTCGACTTCTGAAATTCTGCTCTAAGAGGCTTGCGGGTTTGGGGATGCAAACGTCCGAAAAAAGCCGCTAACCCTGAACCCAAGCCCCAAACCGCAGCCTTCTCTTAAACCTGAACTGCAGAAAGCTTCTCCGAAGGGTCCAGGTGCCAATATCTTTTGGGTTCGAGGTATCGAAATCTCATACAGATGCCCAGCATTTGGGATGCCAGCCCTTTTTGGGCTCTTGGACCATAGGGTTCATTGCAAGACACTTGGTCCTCTCTGGTGAAGAGGATTCGGCTGCTTTGCCATTCTGGCTTGGCTTCTTTCAGCTTCCGTGCCACGTCCCTTGCAGTTAGCATGCTATACAAACACTGAGGAAATCCTGCAGCACTTCAAGTTGCCAGAGATTATAGTAGATGAGAGACCAGGTGCGGTGCACATTTTCCCATTAACAATGGATGAACGGTTTAGAACATCCATACCCCTTGTTTCATTCCGGGGTAGTTCAGGCTTATAGAGGGGGAATCTATGGGGATGATTAATGCTCATTAACTACCTCTAGGGGGAGGGGGTAGTATTGGCAAGGCTTGCTCAGGCATACCAAGCGCTCTACAATTGGGTCCACGCCTCAACGTTTCCAAGGTTTTGAGGTGCAACCCCACCCTTAAAGGTTCGTGGAAAGTGCCCGATAGTAGTATAGGGTACCAGATTAGGGGCTCTAGTTGGATCCTCCCAGGAGGATGGGTTTGCGCAACTTAACTACTGGTTCCGCAGCGTCAACGGTATAACGTAGAAGCCTGCATAATGGCCATGATCCCTCCATTTTTCAGATCGTGTTCACAATTCACAACGTCGAAAGCCCCTACATCATATCCCTATAAATCACAAACAAGCTTAGTTTGCACTTCACATTTTGCTTTAGCTTTGCATTCGATCCAAGTAATTAGCCCACATACGTCTGGCCCCGACAGAAATCGGTGGGACTCATCCTAGGGGCGCAAAAAGAAAATAAGAAATATGATAGATATGGATATCCCATTGAACGTCCCTTACAACAAGCCCAGAAAGCTTGTGTTTACGTCCTCTTTTTGCTCCTAGCTGGCAGATGGGCCCTACTGTCTAAACTCCTAGTACCCCTCTTCATCAGCCCCATAATATTCCCCCATATAATAAACCTTAACCGCCTTAACCCTAAGCCCCTAAACCCCCTTAAAGGAGTTTAAATTATGGCTCATGTCAACCCAGGCCTAATACGGGTGCTCTTCGGGAGCGTCAGGGTCATCAACAACTCGCCGCCGAGCCCTTGGATGACGACCTCCACGTCTCTGGCCTCAGTGTTCAAATGAGGATCAGGATGTATTGGGGTCTAGATTCAGGGCCCCCCCTATTTAAGATACTACTCAGATGAGCATCTCGAGCCCAGACCATGCAGCGACAGCTGTGGGCATTGGCTGATTTGAGGCGAAAGGCAGTTTTTTAAAGAAACGTTGACTTTTTTGAAGGCAATAAGAGGAGGGGAAGAAGCTATATACCATCCAGCGACATTTACATGACCATGCAATTGATATAAAGTTTCCCCACATCAGAAACTCAAATAAATAGACCCAAGTTCGAATGGCGCAGAACAATATGAAAGCCGTCCTATCCAGCACCTACTGCGCCAACTCCTACGGCGGCCTTACTGCTTACCTACACCACACCCATAACGTGCTTCCTTTTTGGGTGCATCTAGGTTAGGTTGATTACGATGACTCCATGCTCATGGACCAAGTACTAAAAGCAGGAGCAAAACATCGTGCCTACAGGCATTTGGGACGCAGTAACTTGATTATGTAGATCTCAGATGGTCCCCATGTACTAAACCCTAAACCCCTAAACCCTACACCCCTAAACCCTAAAACCCCAAACTCCTAAACCCTAAACCCCTAAATCCCTAAACCCCTAAACTTGTCGGCTCAAAGGGGTGAAGTCCCCACGCCTCATCGAAGCGCTCCAAGCGCATCGCTGGCAATGGCAGAGCCGCCTAAACCTGAATGGGCCGCTTTGGTGTTTTTTAGGGTTTAGGGGTTTAGGGTTTAGGGGTTTAGGGTTTAGGGTTTAGGGGTTTAGGGTTTAGGGGTTTATAGGGTTTAGGGGTTTAGGGTTTAGTACATGGGGACCATCTGAG